GAGAATGAAACTGGGAAGCAAACTAAGTGAGAGCAGAATTGGGAACACACTACCCACTGCGGGGAATCACAGCTGTGACAAACTATTAATATTTATATTAGAATAGCATCTCGAGGGAACAGCTGAGGTATAGATAAACAGAGAAAGCAACGATGTAGAGGTTTGTGCACACGGTTAATGACTGACTGGTAGATGAGGGGAGAGCAGTGGATGTTGTCTCCCTTGACTTCAGTAAGGCTTCTGACACTGTTCCCCACAACATCCTCATAGACAAGGTGATAAAGTATGGGATAGATGCGCAGACAGCGAGGTGGACTGAAAACTGGCTGAATGGCAGAGCTCAGTGGGCTGTGATCAGCAGTACAAAGTCTAGTTGGAGGCCTGTAGCTAGTGGTGTCCCCCAGGGGTCAATACTGGGTCCGCTACTGCTCAACTTATTCCTCTGGGACCTAGACGGAGGGACAGAGAGCACCCTCAGCAAGTTCACGGATGATACAAAACCGGGAGGAGTGGCTGATACCCCAGAAGGACCTCGACAGGCTGGAGAGAGGGGCAGAGAAGAAGCTCCTGAAGTTGAGGAACGGGAAGTGCAGAGCCCTGCACCTGGGGAGAAATAAGCCTAGGTACCAGTACAGGCTGGAGGCTGACCGGCTGGAAAGCAGCTCTGCAGAGAAGGCTGTGGGGGTCCTGGGGCACAGGAAGTTGACCGTGAGCCAGCAAGGTGCCCTTGTGGCAAAGAGGGCCAACAGTACGCTGGGCTGCGTTAGGCAGAGCGTTGCTGAGGGAGGTGATCCTTCCCTTCTGCTCAGCGCTGGTGGGACCCGTCTGGAGTGCAGATGTCCCGTCGTGGGCTCGCCAGGACGAGAGGGACACGCGCCTCCTGGAGCAAGTCCAGCGAAGGGCCGCCGAGACGAGACGAAGGGACTGGAGCACCTCCGCTGTGAGGAGAGGCTGAGAGAGCTGGGACTCTTCAGCCTGGAGAAGAGAGGGCTGAGGGGGGGATCTTATCGAAGCGTTCAAATATCTGAAGGGCGGGTGTCAAGAGGATGGGGCCAGGCTCTTTGCCGTGGTGCCCAGCGACAGGACAAGAGGCAACGGGCACAAACGAAAACACAAGCAGGCGTGCCTGAACATAAGACAACACTTTCTCGCTGTGAGGCTGACCGAGCACTGGCACAGGTTGCCCGGAGAGGTTGTGGAGTCTCCATCCTTGGAGCTATTCAGAAGCCATCTGGACACAGTCCTGGGCAATGTGCTTGACCGGGGGACTGGACTAGATAATCTCCAAAAGTGCCTTCCAACTTCAACCTTTCTGCGATAATTAAGGGCAGCACATGCCACCTAGCACAATGAGATTTACCCGTTCTCTGCTTAAATAACACTTAGTGCACTGAAACCTTCATCACAGCTGCTTCCTCCACAGATATATAAACAATGAAAGAAAGAAAGAAGGAAAATGTGTGTGTGTGTGTAGGCATTCGTACGCTAACCTAAGCGCTACATAAACAGGAAAGAAAGCAAACAGAGGCAAGGAAATCCCTTGCCTATGACCAATGCCAGAGCTCTACATTTCTACAAAAACTCAAGCTGTTTTAAAATGCCGCTGAATGTTCTGAAATTAGGATAATTTCAGTCTCCTGCTACACTGCAGAAGGAAATCACATTTCAGCAGCTTTTACTGTAACTAAGCTTGGTCAAGCTGTGCATTTTAAAACTTTGGCAATCTCATCTTCTGCAGTACCATTTCTCTATCAGAAGTAAGTCTATGTCAGGGTTGAAGTGAAGTCCTGCTGGACTTTTTGGAGTGAAGGCAAATCCGAGAATGTTTTACTGCTGCAATTTGAGGCAAGGGGACTGAGTAGGGGCCAGAGACATGCAGGCTCGCAGCTGCCCCCTCGCTCTGCAAAAGAGTCACTTCCCACCAGGACCCTCCATCAACTTTCTCCAGCACCAAACTAAAAGCCTTCTTTTTCACTGTGGCACGGTGGCTCGAGTGCAAGTGCTTTCAGGACTAAGTGAGAGAGCGCAGCTTTTGCAGAGTAACCACAGAATTCGAGTGTTGTGACAACTGCAAAGCACAAAAATAAGAACAAGAATTCCAGCAACATATTTTGTTATGCAAAGACGCAGTCAGATGTGAAATTACTCCCTTGCTTTCCAAAGGATGAAGGGGGAGAGTGGGAAGAACCACCTTCTGTAGTAAATTTGTGCGCTATATCAGCATCTGTATGTTTTGTCAGAAAGAGTTTATATATAATATTCCAGTAATAATCATAACAATATTTAATGAAGACACTAAAATAAGACAGCTCCTCCATTTCTTCTTCTTCTACTAACCACCCCTCAGGTATCCATTAAGAAATTAATTCATATCCTATGGACAAGGAACCTTCTTACTTCATCGTAAGGAACCATTTGCTCTTTTCAGGTGAGCACTACATATGACTCATTTCAGAAATCAAAGCATGACTCCAGATCTGACTCCAATTCACCCAGGAAAGAACACATACAAACCTGCCACGAAGGACAGCTTAGTAAAACTGGTAATTGCTGCCCACAATAGGACCAGAGGGAAAACTCAGCTGGGAGGGATTCAGACTTGATTCTAGTCTCTCTGATATCACATCCACTCTTTGACCCAAATTTCCTCTCCTCCCTGCAGGTTCTTTTATCTATTTCAGTATTTCAGTACTCTCTGTAACAGGGACTGCTCCCACAGCATCCACCTTGTACAGCACACGCTGTTAAGAATTTAACCCAGACCATGCTCTTCCTTCTCAGAGACCTTTCAGCAGCACCTAGGCTGGCTCCAGGAAAAAAAAAAACAACTTCAGAAAGCCAGAGTAGAAGAGGAGGAGGAAACAGCATTCTTGCCTGATAGTTGCAAAACACACAGTGTAAAAAGGCTTTCAGTGGAGCAGACTTCTACAAACCAGGGCAGTTTGGACAATCACTACCTATTTCATGAATATTTCACCTATGTTTGCTAGGCAGTGAGGGGGAAGCAAAAGCTTTATCAGTCTACTTTGCTGCTACCATTTATTTGATCTTGTTAGTTCTTGTTCATATATTATATTTCACTTTGCAAGAGAATCGTTCAAACTGTGACATAATATACATAAACTTGCACTGAAAGACTAGAAGGGTTACAGCTGACTTTTTTTAGACTTCTTGCTGGTGGGGAGTAAAATTTTTTAGAAAGGATAGTGTTTCGTTTTGCTTTAGGAATAAAGGTTTCTCCCAAATTTGCTATGGAGCAGAAGGTGCAGTTTCCTACCAGGACCAAGTCACTGTTAAACTACTTTGCAGCTGCTCTCGCAGTCATCGTGGAATAGCACGCTGTGAAAAGAAGAGAGAGGAGGACGGCCTCACAGCAGGGGCAGTCATACCTATAAGCTGGGGTGTTAAAAGCAGCCCAAAGACATGTGTGCTAAACGCAGAGAGATGATACCATTTTTGCTGGTGAAGCTGGCTATTTTTTCAGTCTTGAATGGCAGCAATTCTATAAACTGGAAGTTGATGGGGTGCACATGTGGACGGGGACAAGAGGACTGAACCTGAGAGCATCAAACGGGGGACAGAATCAGTGCCAGGTTTCATGCCTGAAGGAGTGCATAAACGGCGGTGGGAAGACAGTGAACAACTACACTGCGTATCGGAGGGAAAGAAACCTGGAGGTGGGCTGTGAGAGTAGAGGAAGCCTGCTGCTTTATCCCTCTTTAATTAGTTTCCAAAAGAGAGTGATTTCTCTCACCTTCTGCAAGTACAGGACTGTTCCCTTCAGCACAGCATAGAAGGTTTTCCAGCCTCGCTTCCCTCTGGGAGCTGCAAAGAAAACAAATGAAAACCCATTTAACTCAGATCCATTTTTACACTTTGTCTAGGCAACAGGAGAGCTACATTAGTCCTATGTTAAACCTCCTTTGTACTCTCCTTTTCAAAGGACAATGCAACTCAGCACAATGCCGGCACATACCTGCTGCGAGAGAGAGTATGAAAGCAGCCGGTTGACAGCCCTGGACGGGATCAGAAGAGAGTAGGAGCAATGCAGAGAACAGGCCAGAGCGATCTAGTCTATGCGCTCCTGCTGGGGCTAGGCCCTGCCCCTGCCCAGCAGGGTCTGAGCTCAGCGCAGGGGCAGAGATTCGAGCAGCACAAAACTCACGTGCAGGAGGCACTGTACAGAAGTAGTGTGCCTTTGCCCAGGATGCAACGCTGCGCAAAAGCATCCTTCCCTCCTGCAGCTGCTGCACAGTCAGCAGCGCTGGCGGAGAGCTCTCGACCCCGGACCCCTCTCCCAGCAGCCTGCTAAGGATGCCAGAGAAGGGGGGAAGGGGAGAGGGGGCAAACAAAACTCTAGGGGAAAAAAGTGAGTCGGTTAGAGGTGGCACTGGAGGACCATACCGAAGACAACACCTCTAGCTCACAACCATTTAGAAAAAACAAAAAATAAAAGATAATTCAGGATGAAGGGTCCAATTAGAAATGGATTTAGCATGGCTAAAGCGTCACCCTCAGAAAGACATGCCATCCTCGTCCACGGACACCAAGTGACGGTGAAGAGGTTGTTAGTCCCTTGCTCCAGAGGTTAATCATTCCCACCTCACACCATGGGCCTTCTTTCTAATTAGCATTTGTCCAGTTCAGCTTCCAGCCACTGGCCCTTGTTACGTCTTTCTCCTCTAGAGACTGGCTAGCACTTTCGCCTCAGTACTCCTTTCCTGAGAATGTATTTACGCAGTGTAATCACATCACCTCATTTGCTGTCTTACAGGAGCTGAACTCTGCCCTGCAACAACACCATTAGAAAACAAAATATGAAAAGCACTGTCTTTAAAAATGAGTTTCATTTTATTTGGAACTCACAGGTCAAAATGTAAATTTTTGATGTGTTGCACAAGAATGAGATCAGGCCACTGACATTTATGGGAACTTCTGACAGCACGGACCCAATTACCTTGCACGTAAAATGATTACCCCAGAAATGCCAACATCCAGGGTGCTGCATAATGAGTGATTCTGCTTATTTGTAATTAAATAAATCAGTTAACAAAGACAACCATACACAATTACTTATTAGGGTTAAATAAACAAAATTTAATAAACAGGAACCCATTCAGACTATCCAGTCATCAGAAAGGATGAGGTCACTTTGATTTCGACATATCCACATGGTTTTAGTTGCCCAGTTGTTTCAGCCTCCAGGTTGAAAACATTACCCTTCCGAAACATGCTCGCAGAACACACAAACTCCGACAGGCTTAGTCCAGCTAAAGAGAGCTGCAGTTACTCAAAACCCATTACAAGGTCAGATTTCGCCCTTTGGATTCCGCCCAGCAACTATAATATGAATGATTACAGATTATGAATGATCAGTAATGATCAGGGAAAAAACAGATGCTCCGAGTAGCCTCTGCTGTTTCCAAGAACATAACCCGAAAACAAACAAACGAAAATACCCAAACAATAAAACACACGGGTAAATCAAAGGCCTTTGACAATCAGTGTACCACAACTGAAGTAGGATAAGAAGGAAAGAGGATAATTAAACCAAATGAGGTAGAGTTATTACACAGAAAGGACAGGGAGCAACTGCACGGTGTAATTCTGCCTGTTACAAAACTAAGCTTCCCTAGGACACGAGACCCCAAGGCTGGGAAAGGAGGAAAGGGAACGGTTATAGGATCTTCAAAGCAGACATAAGGAACACTCTTTTAGGGAGATTAGAAACAGTTTTGTTTTTCATCCAGTGTCACATAAGGAAAAGACAAATTACCAAACTACTACAGAACAACTACTGTAATTCACTTTAAAATGCTTTCACTTCTATAAACAATGAGTTTCATTTGCTTTTAGCATAAAAGAGTCACATTAATTTTCTATAGCACGTTATTCACCATAAGCATGCATTACAGCTGCTGCAAATGGGACTGAATGCTCAGTAAACTGCGTCAGCGATAGTGTGATAATGCAACTGCTGCACTGTTTGCAATTGCTGCAGTCTCCACTAATGAAACAGCGCTATTTGCCTTGAGAAGCACAGCCTCATCATGTGGGGCACTGTGCAGAGATGACAAGGAAATAAGATTTTCAGAGTGAAAGATACTCACTTTTCTTTCCGTCCATATCAGCATGGATTTTCCGAGCCAGGAATCCTTTCTTATACACAGCAGCGTTGGGGTCATGAGGGATGTCCAAGAATGGGTTATTAGAGTTGCCAATGCGACCAGTAGCCTTTGTCTGGCTCCCATTATCCTTTTCATCAGTACCATCTGCGTGAGATTTTTTTTTCTCTTCTTCATCTCTAAAAAAGTGATAAAAAACTAAGGTAAAACAAATGAGCAACTGTTCAGCAAGGTTAGATTTTAGTAATACTTGCACACTACTTGTTAAAACATACCCCTCTTTAAAGTTGACTGTATTTAGAAAGGAACCAAGACATGTACCAAAACAGAGACAGGTCAGAGCAACACTTCTGTTCATTTAATTTCACCAGCACAGGTCACGAGAGCTGAATTTTCAAAAAAAGCCCAACTTTGTCTCTTATAGTCCCGAAAGGCAAGCTTTTAAGACAGCTCTGTGTCCTACAGCTTCAAATATTTTTACATTCAGTTAAATAAGTGCTAAAATAGAAGTACTTGCCTGCTGGGCTTTTCTGAAAAATCTCCAATTTCCTTCTGAGTTCACACGTAGATGAAAGGAATTATATTACTACAGATCACTGTGGCTTGCCCCTTAACTTACTATATGAAACACAGACTCTACCTCCTTTTCTTTATTTTCCTCCACAGACTGGCATAAAAGTAGTAATTTAAAAATAAAAACTACAACTGTGAATTATGTCATCTGTATTTTAGAAACAAAACGTTGCTCAAAATGTTACTTATTAGTGCAATGTATTCAACACGGCTCTCAGGGACAACAATGCAACCCGTTCCAGCAAGTCACAAGCACTGCCTGTCTAACAAACACCCCTCCTGCTTGCCACAGCCAAAAGCTAAGAGGAGAAGGTGGCCAGGAAAATAAACACCCATTGTGAAGGACGTCCACCACAAGATGACAGTTATCAGAGAACAACAAGGCACCGCACCTAGGTGGATGGTGCACCTCAAAGTGATGGTTGCTGTTGGGTGCAGAGCTGTCCTGTCTCCTTTGAGGCCTCACAAGTTTCCCCCCAGGTGACTAATGAGGGAGCGTCAGAGAGGATGAGTAAACGTGTCCACTTCTAGGAACGCCCACTCAAAGAGTTGTCTTCAGAGGAATGCTAGCCAGAGGGATAATCTGGGATATTCCAGTCTTTGCTGAAAGCGTCTTCAAGGGCATTACTTTGTCCAAGGAGATACAACAATAACAGACTGCTGTGGCAGCAAAGAAAATAAATCCAAATCCAGTTTAGAGGCATCACGCTGTTTTGGAGAGCAAGACTTTTCAATAGTATGGATATGGACTGCTATAGACCAAATGTCAATTTAAGAGCTGGAGCAAGGTGATAGACATTTTATTTAATGGTAGAGATGTAGCAATAGCTCCCCTTGGCCCGGCAGTGTACCATTCCATCACGATGATGTCTGGCAAGGTCTCATGATGAAAAGGAACAAATCTTTCACTTGAAGGCCGGATTCCAGCAAAGATCATCAGTCTTTACATCCTTCAGCCTAGCAGTATGTGTTTTCCCACTGCTGAACGGAAATACCTGCAACATTTCTTTTGGTGGTCAAAGCAATAAAGATTTCTTCATGCATACATTGGTTGAAGCCCTTCACCAAACTAAAAAGTGCAGAAATTATCCCAAAATTTTTACTGCCCCCTCTTTTTCTCCAACTGACTGGTGGGCAAGCACAGGTGAAATCCGAACCAGTGTGTGACACATGTTGTTTAAGTATGTGTCCGTTCCAGGAGTAAACTCTCTCTCCGTAACTCTGCGTGTACCTTATGGTGCCTAATCCAGACTAAAACCTCTCACGGGGCACAAGCACTCCAGCTGATTTGTAATTTAGAAGCGCTGTGTGAATTCTGGGATCTCAGCCAAGGACACAGTGGATTTCTCCTTGTGAGCAGAGACCTAATGCAGCAAAAGGCTCAGCATCTTTTGGAAGGAGCTGTCTGCTTTGGAGCCATGGGAGTAGGTTATCCTGTACCAACTGTATCAAATATTCCCATTCGAGCAGCCAGAGGTGTTGTGACAAGCAGATATGGGAATTCTGGACAGCACTGGTGCTGGGGGCAGTGCTCTCAAAGTCAGCTTCTCCGCTGGAGCTGATAAACAGGAATTCTTCGAAAGATAAATGCAGACAGGACTAGATAACAGCAACATGGCATCTCCTGACTACCACACAAGAACGAACCTTCAGCGGGTATTGAAAATGGGACACCTTTAAGATCCAGAAGCTTCAGGTGCTTTTGAGAGCTGGATGCTTTGACACATGAAATAGACGGTTTGGAGGTCAAGAGGCATAAGCCGGTTCAATCCATAAGATCTGATGAGGGGCAAAAGGGCCAAGGGGGACTCACTACAAAGAACATGAAGAAACGAATGAACAGCTGAGGAAATAAAACTAAAAAGAGCCTGTATCCGCCTCTGTTCTCAAATATTAAACCATAGTGGAAATAAAACCAAGGGCTCTGGGACCCAGTTCTTGAAATGCTCCATTTTGCTTCAGTGGTCAGGAATAAGAAGAAAGCAGGAGGATTGTCAGGAAGTTCAAAGCAGCAGAACAGCTCTAGTAGTAGTCTTTACTTGTGTACCCTCCACAGTTGGCTGAATAGGACTGGCCAGGAATGGTGTCAACTGGGGACTGATCAAAGTACAAATCCTTACACGGACTAGTCAGGAAGAAAGGTGATGAAGGACTGGTTAAAACAGATACCTCTCTTGCATGACTGTCCGGAACACAAGGCTTTAGAAGAACAGCTCAAAACTGCATAAGCTTTCCTTTAAATGATCCCAAAGATTTATCAGTTTGTGCTTACTCCTCACCAGCCTTCAGGATACGGTTGCAAAAAAGAAGAGCTACAGAAAACTCAGTTGGCCTCCGGATACACACACCTGAAGACCGATCTTTGTTTGAAACCTTCGGCTGTGAGTGCTGAAACTGTTTCCTCTTCCTCAGATGGCTCTGATGGATCATTCACGGCTTGTAACGTCCCTGATGTGAAGGGCACCAGTGATGCTCGGTTGACAGCTGGTGGCTTGTATCTCTGTGCAAATGTATTCAGTGCCATGGATTTAGTACTACACAGTCAAAGCTCAGGTTCTTGTCAGGGGCAGGCTTGATGCCTTGGCTTTTCATTTGGAATAGCTGATAGCATGATCCCTTTATCTTTGAGGAAGGGGAAAAAAAAAAAGAAAATATGCTGGTTCCAGCACTGATTTCAGTAGCAAAACATCAGCATCTGGGTGAAATCAGGTTTTCAAAAGTCTTAAGAGGTTTTCTGTCGTTGACAGCAGAGAGAGAGAGAGATCATTCCTGTTTCTGCTTCTCGGAGCGATTCCTCTTGCAGCCTGTCTCCGGGGGCAGAAAAGGGCTGATGCCTGTGAACCTGTTGTGGCTGAAAGGTAGCACCAAGCAGTGTCTCTGGGGTACTGCTGGCAAGAACAGGTCTGTAGAGCTTTCCCAAGACACTGCCCAAGTCACAGGCTATTTACACAGTTTCCCAGAAAGAAAAGCTTCACTGGCATTTCATTTAGGTTGTCCCTTTGGAAAAAGACCTGCAGATGGAGCAGTGCCCCAGGACACAGCTGTCCATGAGAACTAGCAGTCCAAAACGAGAACCTGCCTGCTCTGCCATTTGAAGAAAAACAGCAGTGTTGTGAGCCCCACATACGTGATCACTGAAAAACAGAAAATATTTGCCTCCTTTATTCCTAAACACACAGATCTGAAACATACGCAAAGATACGGATGATGCCATTTTGGTGAAGAAATATATTTTTGCCTCTCTTCTCAAAAGACCTCCTACAGAAAAGCCCCATTTTTATCTTCTCAAAGGAAAACACCACCCAGGTCACTCCATAACAAAAACCTCTCTGTACCACTCAAAGACCTGACTTGAGGCTCCATCTTGGAAAACTTCAAATTCACTAAGCTCGAAAGACAGGGTCAAGCCCTTCATTTTTAAAGGTCTGCTGCTTCTCTGCATTTCTTCAAATAGAAACTCACATCACATGGCAAAAGACTGAATTTATCATTTAAAAAACCTGGTATTTAAAAAAAAATCTGATTTGTGGCATATAATTATACAAATCTCTGGAAATGAGAATATTTGTGTCAGGAAATCGACTTGAGAAACCAGTGGAGAGAAGTTCTCCATGATGTCTTTCTTAAAAGGAGGAGAGAAGATAGAGAGCCAGATGATTACCAGATGGCCCCTCTAAAACCAATTTTTAAGTTGAGAACTTAATTTCCTGGAACTTGAGATAAGAAGAGGTAATTATCATGGGGAGAGATCTCTGGATTTGACCTAGGAAAAAGGGATTTTCCCCACAGAGGCCATTATAACCACGTGAGTCTCAGCATAACAATTTGCCACAGAAAACACAGAAGATCCAGTTTGGCAGGTCCCTTTTTATACGGCCTTGCTTGCGGAGATGACTACCATCACTGCCTCTATCACCTGTTTTGTTCTGGCTGGAAGGAGTTGATTTTTCAGTGGCACTCAAAACAACAAAAAAAAAGGACATAACGTGTCCATGTCTAAATTTTTGTAGAAAGACAGCTTTGTCATGTATTGGCTAAAACCCATAAGGTTTTCCTGAAAATTACACCATCCTGCTTGGAGAAAGCTTTCACAGTACTGACGGCTCAAAAGCAACCACTTGTTTTCTGCAGTCCTGTTAGTGTTACTGCAGGGTTTCAACTGTTAATACTAGATCATCATCATTCAGCATATTTTAAGATGATGATATTTTTTACTCCTGTCACCTGCAAAGCAAAGCAGACATAACATTTCAGACAGTGGAGAACAATAATGTTCACCGCAGTATTTCCATGTAGACATCATAGGAGAAAAACATATTTAGCCCTGGCGCCACTGAAATCAAACTCATTCTTCTTCTTCATCTTAAAGATGATAATGAGTGCAAAAGCAAAAGGACAAAGAAACCCCTGCAAAATCCAGACCGTAGTATTACAGACAACGGGACTGAAAGTATCTTAAGAGCTCAGCTAATCTACTTCTTTTCATCCAAGGCTAAAACCACTCTTCCTAGCCAATTCTGGACAGAAATTTGTTTAACTACTTCATAAAAAGCTCCACTGAAAGCAATTGCATAACTAGTTCAGGCAAACCAATTCCCTGATTTAAAAGCTTTATCGTTAGAAAGTTTTCTATCATGTTTAGGGTAAACCTGCCTCGTTTCAAGTATTAGCCTATCCACATTGGGTGTGAAGAATACCTCATCCCTATCTTCTCTGCAACAACCTTTTTGCATATTGAAAAAATACGCTCAGGTGCCTTTCATCAGTGCTCTCTTTTCTGACTAAGCAAACCCAATTCTTTTAACCTCTTCTCACAGTTCATGTTCACAACGATCTTGAATTCATTTAAGTCTTATGGGTGATGTTGGGGTAGAAGAGCAGGAGGTAGCCGTTTGACATTACCACAGACGAAAAAAAATTCATGGAAATACCAAGTCATTTAGGGAAGTTTAAGAACCATGAGGAATTACATAACAATTATTGGGGCTAACTGCACTCCTAGAGTGGTTCCAGTGGCCTCAGTCAACTGAAAACAGGATGCATTGGACTAACTGGGTAAAACATTACCTGGTTTCACTGCAGTCAGTAGGAATTTCTGCCACTGACTGCAGTGAGGCCTGATGACTAATAATTATGCTTAGTCCTCCACTTGTGATTCAAAAAAGCGAAGTACAGTCCAAAGATAGGAGAAATCTAGAGCTGTACATATGCAGTAAAGCAGAGACATAGAATGACATAAAAAACCTGAGAAAAATCATATTTCTCATGGTTAATTTTCCCATACTGCACATTCTCTTATCTTCCAGGACACTGAATGACAAGGGAAGCAACTGAAATAAATGGAAGAACACTTCCTAGCAGTTTTACTATGGAAAGTGACCAAGAGAGTGTTGCAGGGAAGTGGGCAGGGGGCATATCCAATCCTACGTTGACCAGTTGTCCATGACTTCCAGGTCAGACGTGTTTCACATCTCACAAATCAGGGTATACGATTCACTTTAACCTTCAGGAGAGCTTGGACGTGGAACTACTGCAGAAAAAGAACTGTAATGCAATTTTCTCTTCCACAGCTGTCCTCACATTTCCATGTTTATAAAAGATAAATTAATATTCCTCCTACTGAATGCCTCTGGAAATACACCTGAAGCACGTGTGCTGATTAAGGTGACACTTCTCTTGGCTACAGATCCAAAGCTGGAATCAATGATAGCCTCTCTTTTCAGTGCGCTTAGGACCAGATTGTAATTCTACTGGAAATGGACATGTCTTGCTCGTAACAAGTGAGAGAAGGATCATGTAGCAGTCTTTCCCAACTCATTTATCACTGTTGGCCTCCCCTGCTTAAGGACTTATCGACAGCTGTTAGTCCACCAAATAACGCACTGCTGGAGAAGCTCTTCAATTGTCAATTAACTCGTAAGAAAGAGTTTTAGATCCTCAATAGGACTCAGGCTGGAGGACTTGTGTCATCACATCAGCATCATGAAAGAGCTTATGCTGGACTTTGCAATACGCTTTCCAACCTTGCTCTACCTCCCACTTCTCCCCCTGCCACCTCCATCAGGGGAAGCAAAGGGACACTCCTTGGTAGGGAGGGAGACCATCTTCCTCAGTTCCATCACAGCAGAACTGACCACTGTCCCTTCCTCATCCACCTTTCTCTGCGGATCACGACAGCAGAGCAAGAGACAGCAATCTGCTTTCTCCTTCCAACCCAGGCATTAACAAGGCCGCTTGGCATAATTATCCTACACCAACCACACAGCTCTGTAAAGGTGAGGAAAGAGATAGATATTCATCCTCACTTTTCCAGTCAGCATTCCCAGCCCTAAAACTAAAGGCACTACCATTTCACCTATGTCTGGAACGAGCCTTGTTTCTCAGCACAGAGAGTGATTTTCACACAAGTTGCAGCTGTGTTTCCGAGTTTCAGATCTGAATGGACAATTGGCCACTTGGAGCGTTCTACAGGGACAAGGTGGCTTATGGGTGGTTTCAACAATACCTCAAAGCCTTCTTTAGGGAAGACTCTGATTTCCACGTCTTCCAGGCTGCTTGCATTTTTTCCCAAACAAGTCATTAGTGAGGGATATGGACTGGGCTGTGTAAGTGCCAAAGGAGTTGTTATCTGTACAGGAGTAAGCTATCTCATAAATCACCTTGACTGAAACTCATGGGAGTGGAGCCAGGAATGAGCCAGTTCCCACCTGGAGGCTGCCCAAGTGGATTAGACACAGTATGCTCTCTTGCCAAGAGCTGGAGGAAACCTGTGGCATCGGGAAGGTCACATAACAGATTCTGCGGGGTCTGAAGTAGCTAAGAGCGAGCATCTTGCAAATAGCTCTGGTGTTTGGACATGTAAGATTCATACGACATAGTCTAGGTCCAAGGTGCACTTTGCAAGAACCTGTCTCCCACCCTTCCTCACATGATGCTCATCAGAGATGGCACTTCTCAATGATTCCCATTACCAGCCCACCTTTCTCACTACTCTGACATTATTTAACACGCTCCTTACACATCTGAATAGGGGCTGCAACGCCAGTTGGGACCAGCAGCCCTCATGAGCAGGGTTGTCTGCCCTGGTAAGAAATTCAGTTGCAGATAAAGAACTTACAACAAGAAAATTTAGGAGCCGTTGGAGTAGAAAGACCTATGACAGCAGATAGGACTGCTAGCCCAAAAGATGCAGGAGCATGCATTCCAGACATACACTGCTCTCCAGAAGATGAGAGTTCAGGTCTGTGAATCCACATTAAGTAAACATCTTGTAGAGGCAAAATAGTCATAAGACGTGATTCTTCTCTCCTCCACCAAAATCTGCTGTTCTACAACAGGGAAAATCTAGAGCAAACCCTTTTCCTCTCTGCTGGCATACCTAGACCACATACAACCTAAGCACAGGGAAATGTCGATTTAGCATGATCAGAAACGAAAGCTCTTCCTTGTACGCAGTGTTTCAGCGCTTGACAAGTGTTAGCCTGTCGAAAGCAGCTAATGGTGGGCAGAGATCAGACTTGGTCCAATTTATCATCTTTCATATTAGGTTCTTGTCAAGCTATCCATAGTTAATCAGGAGACAATCCAGGACAATAAACCAACAGCAGGAAACTCAATCCCAGACTTGTGTTTCTATTCAGTGGTTCTGACACAATGTACTGAAAGATAAAGGGAGAAGTCAACATCTGTTTTATTTATGCAGTCATAGAATAAAAGAGGATTTAATTTCTCTCTTTTCAGGCTGAAGTTTCCTATTAAATGAAATGTCCTCTTTCCTTACAAATGCAGTTGGTCCCTATCATTAGCAACTCCCCTCGCTAGGGAAACAGATAAGGCAATATTGCCAGGTCATTCATTAGCAGAAAGGCAAACTCATTACATCTACTGGCTACCTTCTACAGGTTTTGGAGGCCACACAGACAGTCACACAGGAATTATAAACAAATTACTACACAGGTACCATTTTTAAACTCCTAAATTCTATGCAGTATACTTACACTGCCCATTCAAGCTTCTCATTCTTGATTGAATTGTAGAGGGCCTGCAAAGGGAAAGAAAGGACATGGGGTTATTGCTTTAGCCCTGCTACACATACAGTAATATGCTAATAAAAATTACCTATCTAACACTAGAAAGCAAGCTTTCTCTGATTAAGGAAGTACCGTATCTCCTCAAGATAACACAAAAGTCTCAAGCCTGAGGCAGAAATATCAACTAAGGAAAAAAATATTAGAACGTAGGGTTTCAGAGTACAGTCATTTTCTGGAGCAGAGTTCTTTTTTAAAGTAAGCCAACAAGTTTGCAAAACACAGGAATCCACAAAAATGCATCCTCTAGTTACACACCCAGATAGCTGATATATAAAATGGATAAAAGCCTGCTATTACTACAAGCTAATGGAGGTCTTCAAATAGGCCACTTCAGTCAAGTGAAGTATTTTGGTATGGAATGTCCCCGATTCTAGCACTTATAATCCACATTTGTAATTTACCTTATATACATAGCTTGATTTACTCCCTCCAGCACATAACTCCTACACAGCCTCAAAATATGTTAATATGTAGAAAAACTGTGGATGCACATGATTACCAAAAAGCAGCACACCAAGTATGAGCAAGTCTGCAAACCACATACTATAATAGCTATGACATGCTCAACAGAAACAGCAGCATTTAAATAACCTTAACTTTGACCCATAACAAAAATAGTTTGGAAGACGGAAGAATCTAAGGTGGGCTTTTATGTCACAACTAAAAGTGCAATGAGAATCCCATGAGCATATCCCACTGTTTATCCTGTGCTCCAGCAGCTCCTTTTCCAGTCTTGCATGGTCCATCCGAAGGTTTTTAGTGTTCAGCTCTGCAAAAATTTGGCTCTCGATCGAACCGTACACACGCAGGTCAAATACACTGGTACAACTCACCTCACACTGACGAGCTTTTAGTCCCTGCTCACCATAAATCTAGCTTCCTCAGAGTAACAGAACAGATATGATCACGAGCAGGAATCATCCCATATCCTACTTACATTGAGCTAGCACAGAGAGGTTCCCAGTGCTAACAGAGCTTTGCTGTGCTGCACAGAGCAATATGATGAAATATTTCCAACTCTGGAGTGTTCACAGTCTATTTCTATTTACTCTGTGTTCTCCAAATTTGCACAAGGAGGTCATATCCAAAGGCAAACAGTCAGACAAAGGTGAAGGAAAGGGCATTGCTGGCCATGTGTAGACACTTTGCCTAATTTTAAGATGAGAGCTAACAAGAGTTTAAGATGACCCTGCAGGAGGAAAGCAAAACAAAGGGATAACACCTCTCCTACCATGCACCCAGCAGTGCTGCAGAATTAGAACCATGTTCATTCTTCTGCACAAGCTGATGCTGACACTGATTCCCTGGGCTTGCCCAATATTTTCCATTAGAAGGCATTATATTTCTAATGACTGGGTCAAAATCCTGTACTTAACTCTTTGACTCGGGCATTTTTTCATACTATTATCAAAATCTCTTCCATCTTGAGCCAGAAAACTATTTCCAAAAATAAGGTAAATATGTGTATTTTCGTATTTTCCCCCAGTTGCTGGTTGGATGAGCTTTCAAAACTTCTCAAAAGCCTGGTCTAGGGCAGAGAAGGGCCTTTTGCTGTTATCTGGCCCACATGCCTACAAGACTGGGTGAAGACCTCTGAAAATTAACACCTGCCCTGCACAGTGCTGCTTTTTATGGGTTCTGCTGCTAAGGAAATCTCTAAGGATCACTGCAGCGGAAGAATGCCTATTCCTAGAGCAGGAGACACAAAAGTAGAACTCCAGATTGGCGAGGGAATAACAAATGCCCCAGGCTTTTGCCTTGTGCAAAGTGACATGTGTTTGTCCCCTTCATAATTTTCATTAATGAGCCAGACTCCATAATCCTTCTTTAAGAAGTAACAGACACCAACCCAGTCATATGGCGCACATCTGACGAAGGACACAGTGTCCCCCACAGAGCGTCAAATACAGCTGTCTCAAAAAGTCTCTATCATTTACAAGAACTGAATACCTCACAAGCAATGCTGCCACCCGTCAGTACAAATAGCATACACTATCCCTGATATGGAGAGTAGTTGCAAAATACCAGGGAAGTGTTAGCGCTAACAAAGACTACCGAGGTCAAAAGGGAAAGCAATCCCCTTGCAAGGGACAGAAGTAAAAGGGATAGACACTCCACGCGTGCCTCTGTGCACTGCTTCATGGTCCTTCACCAAAGCAATGCGCCCACTTTATGCTTAACATTTTCCCCACATCCGGTGGGCTCTTCCATTATCTGGAGAAAAAAAAAATTCCTCTTCTTGTATTTGGAAACCCGTGGCAGATGTGTACAGCCCAACTCCTGCTCTGTCATTTCATGGCTACTTCCCAAGGCCCTGATTCAGAGAGCATCTCTTTTCGGTAGACATCTCTCCAGAGCATGAGTAAATCAAACAAACCTGAAGAAAGGCACTGAACTGCTTCACTAATTTGGAACAAACCTCATCAGAGATTATGGTGGGGACATGACTTTCACCAGTACTTTGCTAGTTGCAAGGATGGGTCTTATTTACTTGTGTCTTCCCACTGGAGAAAAACATCCCAAGACAAAAAACAAACAAACAAAAAATATGGCTCTGATTTAAAGCATATTAGCAGTTTGACCCTCCCCCAAAAACAAAACAACTCAAAAAAAAAAAAACAAAAACAAAAGAACAATCACAGCTTCTTACCCGCTTGCCTGAGAAAGCCTGTGGCAAATTTACCTCCACATAAACCAGAGAACTGGGGGCTGGACCACAGCAGGGAATGACAGAATCGGTCTTTAACTATCTCATCTCCCATGCAGGACCAATAGCACTTGGAAAGGAGAGCGAGCTTTTATCTCTTCCACCCTTCAAGGCACACAGGCAACTGCAGAGGGAACCCAAACCCATGGCTACAACTATTCAGCACTGTCAGGGGTTTCTGCTTTAACCATTAAGCTGCATTACCCAGACCATACATGCCAACTCACTGCCGTTTCTCCTCTCCTGAGGACTGCTGATCTCTTGCTCTGAGGCCCAGCACTGCTCTGTGCTTCCCTGACAAGCAACACCAATTTTGAAGACAGAACAAAAGAAATGAACTGCTGTATAACGCTGGAGAGCGGGCATCATCCTAAAAATTTTTCTTATTTTAATTCCACTGCTGCTTTCCCAAGCTTCAATTTGACTCTTAGCAACCTGCAGTATGAAAAAAACAAAGTGGGATTTGTTTGTATTCAGTTATTACTTGGGTAACTTACTTTCTTTTTTTTTTTTTTAAATGGACGCCTAAGCTTTGCAAGAAGTTGCTGACTGCTGAATTCCATCCCCAATCCATAACTGTCCAAGCGAATTTTCCCTTTGGTAAGTAGGTAGGTTAACTTAGGAAAGTTATTGTTGGGGGATCATCAGTCTCATCCCTACAAGAGATGCACCAGGTGGCCTCTGCAGCCCTCACCAGAAGGTCCAGCAGGGCACAAGAAGGCAGACAGGGTTGCAGCCACTCCGGAGCTGGGCTGCCTGCCAGCCTCCACCGCAGCCACCTGAAAAAAGAAAAAATACCTGAGGACATTTCTGCTTTGGCTCCACCTTGCAGCAGGCAGGGTGAACTGCAGGTGGCCAAGGAAGACCCAGCCACATGAAAAGACACAGAAGCACTCCTCCTGTCCCACAGTCCAGGGCCAGGGCAGCTCACAGGTACAGCAACGGCACCTGAAGACACAGTGTGTGTATACATACAAGCAACACGATTTCAGGATTACCTCTACCACCTGCCCTCGCAGTGGTCCACAGATGGGAGCCACATGCTTCTTTCCTTTCCGGACCGGGCACACAGGGGCTGCGCCCCAGTTCAGCATCTCTCCTGCTCATGCAGCACCGGTCCATCTGCTCTGTCACCAGGACAATGGCTATCAGCCAGTCACCAGCCCAGCCTTCACCGTACACAAATTACTGAGGCAGGGAAGGGGAAGGGACAGGGCAGAACCCTGCAAAAATAAAGCATACTACAGAACTAACAGATAGCCGACATCACAGATACCTGCACGCGGTCCTGACAGGTATTGAACTTAACACGTCAGCGCTTTGGACCAGTGTCTCTCTGTGTCACTACCTCCTGTCAGCCTTTGGATGGAGTGAGACACATTGCTATACACTGCTCCCAGCCTCCTGTTGAAGCTATTACCTTCAGCAGGCTGGCTCTCCCCTAAAACTTCTGACTTGCACACAGATCTACATTACCTCACCATCTCCCATCCACCCTCCAAATATTCAGCTCTTGAGCTTTTTTCCTCTTCCCAAGCGCAGATCTGTAACACCTGGTGAGCCCGTACAAGGGCTCTGAACACTGAGTGCCTGTAGCATCTTGACAATCTCAAAGCCAGCATGCCCCTAAATGTCTTTCTTCTATCACATTTTTTCCCTTCTGAAGAGGGTGCAGCAGGGATGCCAGAACGGTACCCAAGAAGCCCATGGGTTCATCTGTGGTGTGGCACGTCTGCTGGCATCACTCTCAATTTCAAATTCCACTGGTGTGTACAACAAACGTTCTTCTAACAAGCCAGCATACATTATTCATAAAACAGCACAGAGCTGTTCTGCAGCATATGGAACCGATGAATGTTGTTTTGGTGTGGGTGGAGATAGGGTTGATAGGAATGTTTTAGGGGGAAGGAAGGGAGATCATTTCACTCAGGGAATTTCGAGTGCGTCACCAACCGGAGGAGAACATTTCTAAGAGAAACTCCTCTGTTAAAAATCTGGTTGTATGGAGAGGAAAGAAAAAAAAAAAAAAAAAAAAAAAAAAAGAAGGAAAGGAAGATTGTGCCAGATACATCATCATCATAAAACAGAAAAGGAAGGTTAGCTGGGGCTCCTGAGAGCCAAAAAAATTAATGCCACACAAGAATTCCTTCCTTTCTAGTCTTGATACGTAGAGGTTGCTAAAAAGATTTGTTCAGTACTTGTTGGAGCGTTTAATTCATGTTATTGGTAAAGGGAGCATACTGA